AACCCCTTTCATGCAGAGAAAAAATTGGCGATTTTAGTGTCTCTTCCGCGTCCCCCTGGTCTGGGCCCCCTTAGGGGGCCCAGGCTCAAGTATCGGGTGCTTAAAGTAAAATGAACAGTACGTCCGCAATCGCGAATTAGGGACCTTTAACTCTGACAACTGTGCAAGACCGTCGTTTAGGTATATTCGTGCGGTTTTCGCTGCGGCCCACCGGCCTTGGAGCAGCAATTTATCGAAACTGCCGTGGTGTTGGAGAAGAAAAGTCGCGCCGCCTCGCCGAAGCGAGTACGGTCGCAGGCCAAGCTCCGTGAGCTTGAGACCCTCAATGGCCTGGTTGAAAAGCTTGCGCCACGCATGCGGTTTGGTGGTTAAAAAGGCATGAGGAGAGCATCGGCGCTTCCAACTATACAAGGAAGGAAGGACAGAGTTTTCATGAACTGTGATGCTCTCACTGGCTCCTTGACGATCTCCCGACTTGGTTAAACCGAGGGAAATCACAGCCGGGCCTTTCGGGCTAGTGATATAGACATCTTTAGCGGTCAAACTTAAAAGTTCCCCAGTGCGTAGCAACCCGAAGAAGGCAAGGCGGAGACTAAGCCCAAACTCAGGTTTCCCTTGCATGACGCTCCACCCACAGAGAGCGTCCAAGATGCCCATAGTCATAGGCGGAGCTCGGTTGGGGATCTCCGCTGTCGACCATGCTTTCAACAAGCGCCAACACCCTGGTAACTTCCGCCGAAGGTTGGGATCGAAGTCCTGCAATGCCGCGAGGGCGTTGTTGGCCTCTGACTTTCCATGGCCCTCCGCCCATAAGAACTCTAAGTAGTCGCTCACCAAGTTGTCCATCTGCGTCACTCGCGTTGGGAGAACAAGCCCCTCCCTTTCCAACCAAGCGAAGAACTGTTGCAAGCTGGCTTCATACCGCTGTCGCGTGCGAGGTTGTACCGTAAGATCCTTCAATCGACCAAGATTCTTTCGTACCGCTTTTCGCTGCTGTTGACTTCGACCTTCAACTACTTTTGTTGTTTTCTTACCCATTTGCGGTGGAGTGGCCGGTGCGACGGCTTGTCGGCCGGGTTCTGGTGTGTATCAATGTACCCCCAGGTACCTTGAAGGCCACTGGCCAACAGCAGAGCGGAAATCTTGGCTAGCGTTCTTCGCAATTTGCGGGAACTGGATCGACCTCGACTAAGGGCATGTAGTACAACCAATGAATCAACCAGGTGCAAGAAGCGTGTGCGCTGCTCCTTCAACTCTCTGATCCTCCAGGACAGGGCCGTCTTGACAGCTCGAAGTTCTAGCACATTGATGTGCTCCGCATTCCCTGTCCACCTCCAACCAGCTATTTCACGCCAGCGCCAAAGCTTCCCTGGTATTGAGGCACGCAACCGATGGTATCGAGCTGGAATGTCGCTGCCCATCTGCAGCAGCAAATCTTCACCCTTCACTGATACCTGTCCTAAAAGCCGGCGAACTAGTCCACCGCCTGACTTTCCTTGCTGCGTAGTGCGCCGCAACGGGGGTCGTAATAAGAGACTTGGGAGGCTTTCTTCCTCCCCTGGAGTCAATCGATTGACAATGTCTTGCATGCTCAACGGAGTGTTCAAGCCCAAGGTCCGAAACAAGGAGTGCAACAAGTAGCATACCACCGGCACCGACCAAGTGTTCCCAAGCAATGTCAACCTACAGTCGTGGCAAGCGGTCAGGTTTTGCTGACTCTTGGGGTAGCACTTTGCAGTGTACTCCAATGGAAAAACCCTAGAATGCACTCACGTTCCCGAACGCTGGGGACCCTGATGAGCTCTCCATTGGTAATGCAGTTCACCGATTTGTATTGGTATGGCGGGAAGCGATGTTGATCTTGTTGCCACCTTTCTCGTTCGCTCGCGGAACACAGCTCCAACCCTGCTGGCTTGCGTCCCGGCACTGCGGATGGCCTCGATGTCGTGAACGTGGGCAGCACCTGACGCGGGTCGTAGCGTCGCCAACCTGGCTCCAAGAAGTCCTTTTCCGCGACCTGCGCCTGCAACTGGATCTTCCCTGCAAGTGGCAACTTGTGCAGCTCACCTACTTCCTTTGAAGCGCCTTCCAGTTCAATGGGTTCCCACGTCACCCAATACAACCGCGGCCTGCGGGCTAAGCTGACACCTCCTGCATCGATCAACCAAGGGGCACCTTCATAGGCCTCGTTCATCACAGCGCAGTCTTGGGCATCCATCGATGCCACGTTTTCGGCCAAGCGAAACACGGGACACCAACGGAAGAAACGGCGCAACAACTGCTCAACCCTGGGAACGTGGGAAAACAAGCTAGATCTGGCATCTCGCAAGGCTCCTTTACGGTCAGAGTTTAAGCCTGAGACTCCCTGACATGGGGGTCCAGCTCCTAACACCACAGCGCACACACCAGGGTACAACAAGCTCCAACTGCTCACTTCGTTCTCATCAATGAAGGCGACGTCCGTGATGTGCTTCACGTCCGGAAACCAGCTTTCCACAACACGCCGAGCGTCTTCAGAGATCTCCACAGAGATGTAGCCTGCGACGGGTACACGAAGTGCGTCCACCGCCACCCTGAGTGCGCCGATACCGTCGAACAAGGAAACTACTAAGATGGGATCCACGTCATCCTGGGAGAGTATATCTCCCCTGCACTGAGCTTGTGCTGCCGCCACCCCGTACGGTGACAACTCTCGACTCACGCAAAGGCCTCCTCCAGTTGTCGACGCATCACTAGCTGTGACCTCCTCCGAGATTCCTGTGCGAAAATCCATGAACGCCAACGGTGTCAACGCAATGAATCTGATCAGCTCCAACTCAACCTCATCTCCCAACGCCTCCCTTTTTCGATGGGAGACCTCCCCCAACTCAACAATGCGTCACCACAAGGCATTCAAACCAGCAAGCAGAGGACGTCGGAACATGGCAATGTACACAAAGCCTCCGCCGACAATCTGCAGCTCCTTCTGAGAGGCCTTCTTCCGCACCAATAACTCGCAAGCCAACCGCACGTATTTCACTACCTTCTCACCTTTCGGAGTGGCAGTGCCTGCCTCCCCATCCAACCATGCTCCCTGGACTTCGGCTCTCAACTCCTGGGTCACGGCCTTCTTGGGGTGCCGTGGAAGGCCCAAGTCCTCATAAGTCTGACGGACGGCTAACGTCCAGGCTGAGGGTGTGCCGGTCAACGTATCGGCCAACTTTCGGTCCACCTTGTACAGCTCGTCATAGTTGTCCAGATAGACACGGAACAACTGGTCCGCAGTTGAGAAGACCCGATCTCGACGAAGCTCTTGCTGCCTACCTGCCAACCTTTGCTCACCCTGGAGCGCCCGACTAATCACCCGCCTGTGCACATGCTGGGCGATAGCCACGGAGTTAACGAACCCCATCGGCAAGACCTGCGTCACTAGATGCCAACCACCTCCAACATAGCCTTCTGGGAGGGCCTCAGGTGGCACCTCCCGTGCAAAGCCCATGTACTTCCACCACGACGGAGGGGTCCGGAACAAGTAGAAAAAGCAACGTATATCTTCCGACGATGTTATGAGCAGCTGATTATCTTCCAGAATTACAGAGGCCATACCAACAACACTAGGGAGTGTGGATGTGTCCCCCACCAGACTTCGACAACAGCTATTAGTCGGGACGAGGTTCATAATGAGGCGGCAGACCTCAAAGGAATTGCCCTGCTCATCAACCGAACTTTCGTTCTTGCTTACAGCGAACAGTCCGTTCAGTAAAGGGCGGTCACCCACATGATGCAAGCTAGAAACGTGCATCAGCCTACACACCCCCTTCCTCAACAATCCCCGGCAGACCTCCGGCCAGTGGCGCTGCTCCACCATGATTGAAGGCGTCCGTCCAAGGTGTTGATCCTGGGCAGGCATCAAGAAGCTCTCGAACTCCTTAACATACTGCAAGGTCCCTTCACCACAAAAGGCCTCCAACTCTAGAGAACCTACCGCATCTGGCATTGCTGCCTCCACCATTTTCCACTGAAAGGACTTAGCCACCTGTACCTCTTCGCCCGAATAGTCCACCGTCTTTGCTTGGAACAGGCGCGCGTTGAAAATCTAGATGGGGCAGGTTCTGATCCAACAAAGGCGAATTCGAAACCACACTGTTCAACCGTTCGGTCAGCTTCCGTCTGGTGTTGTCCTCTTTGGTCCTGTCTTTGGTCCTAGTCCCATAAAGCAAGTTCAATGCTCGAATCAATGCATCTGTGCTGGGTGTGGAT